TTTCACGGGTCCCCCTATATTATCTTACCCACCCGTTTGGTTTATTCATCCCCTGTTGTCTCACTTTTTTTTGCGGGGGTGATTCAAGTCCCCGACCCCCCCTCTTTCCCGGCCGTTTTCCCCTAATCTTCCCCCTCGTGACTTTACAACCCAAACAATTGTTTTAAAATGCCTCCCAACTTCTACCCGGTTTTTCCACTCTGGCCAATCTTGGGGTGGAAAGGGGTTTTGATTTAGGGAAATTGGGATCTGTGTCCGTTCCGAAATTTTTTGCCCGTGCCTTCCAATTCCCCCCCCCCAGGGCGCTGTTAATCCTAGGGTTTGCCTTCCCCTTGATTTAATTAAGGGGAAAGAAAATTCAACTTCCCCGGACCACTGTTTCCCGCTTCCAAGTCCCCTTGTTTCTGTTTTCTGTCCCCTTTAATCTTTCATTTTTATTTTTATCTCCCTGACCCTCCCTTTTTCCCCTCGTCATTCCATTTCCCAATCCATCTAGGACTTTCCCTCCCCCCGGAATAACCCCTTGTGCAAATCTTTTCTCCTTAATTCTTGATCTTGCAGGTTGGGGTTAAAACTTTCTGCATACCCAGTATGGCCGAAGTCCTGAGTTCCTTGAACATTCCCTTCATGGGATTGGCATACTCAGGTTTTGCCAATGCCCTTATCTGAGCGTTATTGGTTTTTGGGGGCCTCCGGGTACTCTTTGTTTGGCCCCCAAGATTTTCCCTGGTGAGGTTTGCGTTTTGTCCCTCCTAAAATGGGATCTTTGCCTTTCCCAAACTTTATGATTGCATTTTCAGGGATGATTAAGGGGTGTTGCGAAGTGCCCCGCCAGCTTTGTGTCCTCCTGACTCAAAATTTTTTTCTTCAAATTTGGAAAGGGCTTCAGGGTCTGTCCTTCCATTGTTTTTAAATTTTCAAAAAAACTGGGGGATACCCTTTGGGCCCCTCTTTCCCGGACCCCTTTCCTCTTACGTAATACTCGTTGTTGCCCCTTCAGGTATTTTTTGAACCTTCGTTCCCTTTGTTTTGCGTTCCCTTCCTTGTGGGAACGTTTGTCGAAGGCCCTTTCGTCCAGGAAATGCTCCCCCTCCTTTTCGTCTTTTTTCTTTCCCGTCTAAAACTCCTTTTTTCCGGTTTGTTTCCTGTTTTCCTTCTGGTTTCATTTTTTTTTTGTTTTTCCCGGTTACCACCTCCTCCGTAAATTTTCCCGTTGCCTTAAACCCAAACCTGGGCTTTTTTGCCTCTTTCTGTTTTTATTTAAAAATGGGAAAACTTTCCGTCTTCCCTAACCCAGGAAATTTTCCAGTTTCAAGGGTTTTAAAATTTTGGGTTTTCCCAAAATCTTGCCTTTCAAGGACCCAAAAGGGGGTGTTGTTTTGGTTTATTCCCTTTAGGTACAAAGGGTTTTCCGCTTTTCCCCTCCTCCTCCCTTTTTTTGTAGGTTTTCCAACACTTTTTTTTCCCGTTTGGCCCCGTGTGCTTTTCCCGTTTCCTGTTCACTGTAAATCCCTAAAATCTCTGTTGAGCTCCGCAACCTCAGGGTCATTTCTTGTGGTTCTCCCTTCGTTCCCTTCCTGGTTTGTGGGTTTTTTCTCCTTTTGGGGAAAAAGGGTTTTTTAGATTTATTTCTCTATGTTTTTTTCTGTCCTGGCCTCCCTTTCCCGGATCCTCGGTTAGGCCTTTTTAATATTCCCCCCTTTTTTCCCTTCTCTTTTTTCGGTTTTCTTCCTGGTGAAGTTTTTCCTTAAAATTGGTCCCGGGGGCCCTTCTTGGCTTCCCCCAAATTTTTGTTCCCGGCAAACTTTCCTTTTCCCCCTTTTATTTTTTTTGTTTATCCATCAAATTTTTCCTTTCCTTTCGTTCTCTTCCCCGAAATTTGCAGGAAGCCCCCCAAACTATGTGTTTTTTTTAAAGGGGGTTTTCCCCTTTCTGTTTTTTTTTATAATCTTTGTTTTTTAAGCCCGGCCCAAGGTCCTAGTCCTGGGGTGTCTAGTGTGTTTGCCCCCCTCCGGGTGAAAAAAATCTTAAAATTTTTGGTTCATTCCCATTTTTTTGGGGGTTTAAAATGTTATTATTATTTTATAAAATATATTTTTTTCCTTTTTGGGATTTAATTTTTAAAAAATTTCCCCTTTTAAAATATAATATTTGTTGTCATTATTTTTATTAATTTAATTTTTTTTTTATATCCCCTTTTTATTTTTGGTGGTTAACATCACTGAATACTACCGTTTCCAGACTGAAAAACCTTATGTTTTTCTGTTGTCTGCTTTTCTTTTTCCCTCAGTTTTTTAACAGTGGAAAACTTCTCCCCTCTCTCTTTACTTCTGGACGCTTTCCTGGGGGAAAATTTTATTAAAATTGGTCTCATAGTTTTTTTTCTTTAATGCTAGAAATTTGGGACTTCTTTATTCTTTCGTGCCACCCCAAATTGTTTATAACCCTTCTGTCCAAAAAATTTAATTTTTTAAAAACTGGGTTTTAAAAAAATTTTGGGGTGGGAGGCGGAGCGCGGGCGGGGGATATGGGGGGTTGTGGGGGGGGGGGGGTTTCCCTGGGGGGGGTAAAGGTAGGGTTTTTGGGGTGGGGGGAGGGGACAGAGAGATCAGTTTGAGTGGTTTAGATTTTCGTTTTGGGGGGGTATGGTTTGGGGTTTTCTATGGGTGTTTTGGGGGGGTTTTTCCCCAAAGGGGTTGGGAGTAATTATTTGTGGTTTTCAGGAAAGAAAGTGTGTTTTGGTAAAAATTTTTAATATATAATTTTTTATTAATATAATAATTTTATTTAATTTGTTTGAAAATTTTATATTATATTAATTTAAAATTAAAAAAAAATAATAATATAAATATATTTAAAATAATATTATTATTTAAATTGTTGTGCCGAAATGTAAAAAGGGAATTTCAAAAATCATTTAAAATTTATAGATGGGGTTGAAGAGAAGAAATGCGAGGGTCTTGGCAGAGGGGGGTTAAAAGAAAAAAGAATCACACACAAAGGGGGGGTTGTCACAGTTTCTTTTTTGCTGTTGACATGTGTTTTGGGGAGATTTGAAGAGAAGTTGCAGAGATTGGTGGATGTTTTTGGTTTGGGGTGTGCAAAAGAAGAAAATTAAAGGTGAATACAGAAAGGAAAGGGGATGAGGTAACAAAGATTGGTGATGAAGTTTGAATATCAATTGGGGGGAAGAGTATGGAGGAGGTGAACGTTTCAGATATTTGGGAGTGGACTGTAGGGAGGGGTCTATAAGATGAGGTAATCAAGAAGATGGGGGAAAAAAAGAGTGGTGGTGCACTTAGGAGTCGGGAGACAAAAAAACCTTTGTCCTTGGAGGCAAAGAGGGGAATGTAAGAAGTAAGTTTTTACCAACGTCTTAATGGGTGTGAAGCGTGGGGATGAATGTTCCCAGCGAGGAGAAGGTGGGGCAGGGGAGAGTATTTTTCTGGGGGCAAGTGGGGGTTGAATATAATGCAGGAATTCGTAGTTTTTTTGGGAGTTAGGAGGAGGTGGGGATTCCAAAACTGTTGTCCAGAGGGCGAGGAAAGGGTTTTTTTGAGGTGGTTCGGAATGTAGGGGAGAATGGAGCGAAACAGAATGACTTCAAGAGGTATAGTCGAGTGGAAGGAAAGGGGGGGTGGGGGGGCCCAGGAAGGGGGGAGGGGGGGGTAAAGGAGGTTTTGGGCGAGGGGCTTGGCTTTCCCCAGCATGGTGAGCGTGTTTTTAGGAATGGGGACAAATGGTTTTTAATATTGCGTGCTGTTGGAGTGTGAGCAAAGAACATTTTGAAGGGGTTTAGGGGAAAACCCGGGAGGCCGGGCTTGATCCTGGGGTGGGAAGTACAGTGCCTGCACTCTGAAGGAGGGGTGTTAAAGTTGCGTTTAAAAAAAAATGAGTGTAAAGCACCCTTCTGGGAAGACAGTGAGGAGGAATGTGGTGAAAGTTTTCTTTTTCGGGCCACCCTGCCTTGGTGGGAATCGGCCGGTTTGTTAAAAAAAATAAAAAAAATGTAAAATGTATATATGTGTTATATATATATATATATAATATATTAAAAATATATTATATTATATATAATATATTATAAATTATAATTATTTTTTATATTAATATATATAAATATTTTACATATATATTATATATATATATTTAATTTATTTATATATATATATTTATATAATTTATATTAATATATAATATATATATAAATTTTATATATATTATATATATATATATATATAATTTTTATATATATATATATTATAATAATATATATATATTTATATAATATATATATATATATATATATATATTATTTTATATATATATATATATATATATATATTATATATATATATATATATATATATATATAATATATATATATATATTATATATATATATATATATATATATATATATATATATATATATATATATATATATATATATATATATTATAGTATAGTTGTAGACGACAGGGTATACCGTGCAAGTAGTGTAAAACGAACTGTAATTGTTTTACATATGGTAGGATAGTGGTTTTATTTATATGTCTCATGAACATGCAAATATTCATAGTTACTATTTATTACATTATCACATAAATACATTAAAGCACATATATAACTCTGGGTTTTTTCTATTTTATATTCTAGTATCTTATTTTGTTTATATTCTCTTATCATATAGTGAATGAACAGATATTTTCCTCTAAGATGGTGTTGTAAGAGGATAAAATCGGAGAAGGGCTATATATAATATTATCTTATATATATTAACTAATATGTAAATAAGATATAAACTTTATTATTCCTTTTTGGGCATCGTATACCTGATGTATAAATAAAGATAGTATATATATATATATATATATATATATATATTATATATATATATATATATATATATATATATATATTTTATATATATTATATATATAGTATATTTATATATATATATTCAAAACCAAATAATAATACAAATAATTCCTCCCTCAGCATTTATTGGTCATGTGTGCTCTTTGGCGACCTTCTTCTGGCTCAATGTCATGTGTTACGACATGTGGTCTACACTTAGGTATGTCATATATTATTAGAGTTTTATGTAGAGGGAAGTGCTCACCCATAAGGGGTCACATAGCTTATGGTTGTAACAAGGTTTGGCTCAAGGAAAGGGTGTGACCCCATAAAGGGTTACACAGATTACAGTTGTAACAAGGTTAGATTCAAGGAAGGGATGAGCAGCTTAAATTCCTTGTATAAAGAACCCTTCAGCAACATGATGATACTCCCTTCAGTCAAATACAAGTGAATGTAACACTAGTGACATCAGAAATATTTTTGAGATGATCAGTCCCTGAGGCTTGATAGGAGATGGTCAGACTGAGAGACTACAGCTTATCAAGGCTGAGGGACTAATCATCTCAAAATTACTTTCTTTGTCTCCAGTATAGTATTTGCCTGTTCGACTGAAAAAGATTGCTGTGCAAACAAACCATTTTGTCATGATAACCAGGTGTTGCACATGTGTCTTATTAATCAACTTGTCAGTATTGAATATACCATCAGTAATATGAAATTTGATTTTTATGCCTCATACACTATAGTTTCCAGATTAGTTTTCACTGCAAACTTGATTGAAAGTCTTAAAATCTAGAGAATACAATCATACCATACAATTCCTATTACTCTACCATAAAGACTTTATGAATTTTATACAGTGGACCCCCAGTATTCGATGGCATCGGTATTCAATAAATCCGGTATTCGATGCATTATATCGCAAAAATTTTGCCTCGGTATCCGATTGAAAACCCGGTATTCGATACGATTCATACGAGACGTGTCCACATGTGGCCTGAACTGCCCCTTGTGTGCCAGTGTTTACAAGCCAGCCAGTGTGTGCGCATCTAAGGATACATTCGGTACATTCCATATTATCCATATTATCACTGTTTTTGGTGCTTCTTTCTGCAAAGTAAGTCACCATAGGCCCCAAGAAAGCTTCTAGTGCCAACCCTTCAAGAAAAAAGGCGCTAATGACTATTGAAATGAAGAAAGAGCTAATTGCAAAGTACGAAAGTGGAGTGCGTGTGTCGAAGCTGGTCAGGTTGTATAATAAACCCCAATCAACCATCTCTACTATAGTGACCAGGAAAACGGCAATCAAGGAAGCTGTTCTTGCAAAAGGTGCAACTGTGATTACGACACAGCCACCGCAAGTGTTAGAAAATGTTGAGAGACTGTTATTGGTGTGGATAAATGAAAAACAGATAGCAGGAGATAGCATCTCTCAAGCGATCATTTGTGAAAAGGCTAGGCAGTTGCATGACGATTTGGTAAAGAAATTGCCTGCAACTAGTGCTGATGTGAGTGAATTTGAGGCCAGCAAAGGTTGGTTTGAAAGATTTAAGAATCGTAGTGGCATACACAGTGTGGTAAGGCATGGTGAGGCTGGTCCTAGTGGCATTAAAAGAAGAAGGGAAGTAACCCCGGAAAAGGACTTGCTACCTCAAGTCCTAATGGAAGGGAATTCCCCTTCTAAACACTAACACCTCTCCCCTCCTCCCATCCCGTCAATCACCACCAGATCTTCATTAAAGGTAAGTGTCAATTATTTTATTGTTATTGTAATTATTCTATTGCATGAAACTTAATATTTCATGTAGTAAAATTTTTTTTTCATACTTTTGGGTGTCTTGCACGGATTAATTTGATTTCCATTATTTCTTATGAGGAAAATTGATTCGGTTTTCGATATTTTCGGTATTCGATGAGCTCTCAGGAATGGATTAATATCGAATACTGGGGGTCCACTGTATAAGGAATTTCCAGACTCTAAAGGCACTACATGTATATGACTTACCATTTAGTGTTTTCCCTCTAAACATGATTATAATATTAATAATATTAATACTAATTAATAATAGAGAGTTGCCCTTGTTTAGTTATACTGTATATACTTCAAGGAATGCAGGAACAGATATGTATAATGTATATGTACAATGCATATATTTTTGTATAGAAGCATTATGCTATTAAGTCACATAACGAACTCAAAACTGATATTGGCAAATTGTTCTATATCAACAGTGTAAAATTACATGAACCTTATAGCATTGTCCTGTAGTATTAAGGTTGTTTCCTGATACCTGTAGTACTGCATTTCCTATTACTGCATTTGAGTTTTGATTTTGTATTCTATTCTGAAGGAGGTTTTGTGTGGAGAGGCTTGGACTTCCAGCAAGCATGCGTGAGAGTATTTGATAGAAGTGAATGGAGACAAATGGTTTTTAGGACTTGACATGCTATTGGAGTGTGAGCAGGGTTACATTTATGAAGGGATTCAGGGAAACTGGCAGGTCGGACTTGAGTCCTGGAGATGGGAAGTACAGTGTCTTCACTCTGAAGGAGGGGTGTTATTGTTGCAGTTTTATGACTGTAGTGTAAGCATGCCTCTGGCAAGACAGTGATGGAGTGAATGGTGATGAAAGTTTTTCTTTTTCGGGCCACCCTGCCTTGGTGGGAAACAGCTGATGTGTTAATAAATAAATAATTCTATTCTGAAATTATTCATTGAATTATCCTTTTTTTCATTCATTTTATATTGCAGAGTAACTCTCCCTATAATTTCATTTGTCTTTATATATTTTTTTTACCTCAGCAGCCATCTCCCACCAGTTCAGGGTGTCCCAGAAAAGGAAATATATTCATTATCATTCAATCAGTTTCTGTTTTGCCAGAAGTGCCCTAACATCACAATTCAGATTAACCTCCTATTGTAACATCACCCCTCCTTCAGAATGCAGACACTGCCCTACCCACCTCCAGGACTCAAGTCTGGTTAACTGGTTTCCCTCAATACCTTCATAAATGTTACTTGCCTCAAACTTCTAGATCATGGCTATTATACACCACTTGTCTTGATTCACTCCTATCTAACATGCTCACGCAAGCCTGCTGGATGCTCAATCCCCTGAAACTCAGAGCAACCTTTATCCCTTCCCTCCAGCATTCCTGATGACACCTACTCCTCCCACCTTCCACCCAAATTTATACAACCTCTTCATCATCATATCCCTTTTTATCCTCTCTACATGCCCAGACCTTCCCAGCAACCCCTCCTCAGCCTTTTGAATTATGCCCTTAGTGATCCCCACTTCATTTAATTTCTACACTCCAAATTCTCTACATGATATTCATGCCAAACATCACTCTTAAATATGACATCTCCGTTGCCTCTGGCCTCCTCACCATATTATTCCAAACCCATGCCTCATAACCATATAAAAAGTATTAGTACCACTTTACTTTGGTACGTTAATTTTTTTGCCTCTCTAGATATTACAGCCTCTCCTCACTTAGTGACGTACTCGTTTGCCGACGCCTCGGACTTACGACGAGCTCTCTGAGCAGTATTGATACCTAAATAATGTATATTAGAGCTGATTTCCTTTATTTTGTTTATTTCAATATACAGTACTCTACTGTATAAACATTTAAAAATATACCAGAAATGTTATAAATGGTGCAAAGGTGGCATTAAAATAATATCAAAGATGGTTGACACAAACCCACTACTATTATAGTATGCTCCTCACTTAGCGACGAATTCGTTTAACGATATGGTCTTGGGAATGGAACTCCATCGTTAAGGGAGGAGAGGCTGTACTGTCTGTTTGCTAAAGAAATATTAAAAATGGTGTGCTGAGCTGTAAAGCTTAAAGTACTTGTTGATACATGTATATCCATTTTTTTTCTTGGCAAAATAAGTCACCCTAGATGGATTTAGCTTTTTAATTTCTGATTTTTTATTGAGTATAATTTCTCTAACCAATACATTCAGCAATTGTTTTACAATCTTGTCTCTCATATTATTTCCTTTGACTAAGATAACTCTTCATTATCTAGTAGAGCATTACTGTATTATCTTATGTTTTCCCCTCATGCTAAATTTGTTCACAAACTTAATACATGAGACAAAGACAATGAAAAATGATTGTCTGTATATTTAACCTCCATCTGAGGTCCTCTTCAGAAGATTAAAAGAATGAAGTGAGAGACCAGGTATTTGTAGAAGAAGTAAGAGTGAGGAGTTCCTTCCCAGTTGAGTGGAGCATCATCTTGCCAGAGTGGAGCTTCTTGACTCCTCAGAATGCTTATTGACATCTCATAATAGGTTGACCTTATTTTTTTAGACATAAAAGGGGTTTAGAGGATCTCTTATGTTGGGCTGTCATTATTTGGGAGTGTGAAAATGTCTGGGTAATTGTTGTGTCATACAAAATGTTGAATGTAGGAACAAAAGAATAGAGGGGGGCAATTCAGTAGACCTGCTGTCCCATGCTAAATAACAAAAAGGCATAATATCGTGACTGGAACAATACACAAATAGCCCGCTTCCCTCTCCTATGTTTGGGTTATTTGTGTATTGTCCCATGCTAGGTTAGTCTTGTGTCCTTCACACTCCGAGAAGGCATGTAAATGTATTTCTGTGCTTTTCTCATTTTTAGGTTTTGACCAAGACCACAAACAGACATGTGGCTATGGTATTTGCTATCTTATTCAATATCTCTCTTTTTTTTTTTTACCTCCAAGTTTATTTAGACAAAATTGTTTTATTATATTCATGATTCATCAAGTATTAGCCATTATAATTTAACCTTGTAGCTTGTACTCATACTAGATTCAAGTTTTACTTACACATCATGTATTTAAACTGAGTATTGTTTTCAGGTCTTCCCAGCAGAAGCATCACAGTAAAAAGACATTTTTGAAGTACAGTTTATATGCCTGGGGCTGTCCCCTGATAGTAGGTGCAGTGGCTCTCATCATTGACAGTTTAAAACAGTCAAATCTCATAAGACCTCGGTTCACAGATGGTACTTGTTGGTTTCATGGTGAGTTTCATACAAAATATTCATGTTTTTGCTACTTACTGTATTAAATTACATGTACAGTCATAAACCTGTTGCTCACTGTGCACAGGATATATTCTGATAAAGTTTCATGTCATATGAATCCATGCTGTGCTAACCTGTTGTACTCTATGTAGTAAAAAGCACAGTACGGGAATACCCAGTTTGATATTGGAAAATCTGTTCATCAGGTGAAATTTACAATCAATTCACAAACAATTGCAGGTAATGGCAAAATTGCTGAATCTGATGAGGAAATGTGTGACAATAAATAGGGAATCTGAAAGTGTATTTACAATAGAAAATACCTAAGGCAAAAAGATTTCTGAATTTAAAACAGTCAATTTAAATGGAGCTCATTAAAATTCCTGAAGAAGTTACGAAAGTACTATTGGATATTGACAGTAACAAAGCAACAGGTCCAGATGAGCTGGACCTTTAAAATATTCAGTTATTCAATCTGGATGGGCTACAATGTATAGGAACATTTTAAAGAATAAAAAGGCACAGTACTGTGACTGGAACAATACACAACTAACCCACGTGTAGGAGACTGAAACTTATGCTACTGTATTTCAGTTCAACTTGGACCATTAACTGTGACTGTGTTGACTAGTAATGGTCCAAATTGAAATGAAATGCTGTCATAAATCTCAGTCTTCTACATGTGTATTATTTGTGTATGGAACTTTATAATCATGTAGAAGAAAACTGCATTGATCCTGTAATCCACCGCTTTGAAGCAAACTGGCAATAGTATTGTTTATGCTAACCAAACTGAATCGTTCATTCATTATATGAATTTGTTTTTAATGTCTCATGCTCATTAAAGGGAATTCTCATCAACAAGAATTGCCTTTATAATTACCAATCCATGTATGTATCATTTCATTTTATCATGAATTTGGAAGCATGTAACCACATATTGGTGAATACAGTGACTAACTATGCATATTTTATTTGAAAGTTTGGTTGTGATGACACATATACTGTATAGTACAGGGATTTTATGGATGGTAATTCACACACCTATTTCAAGTAGGAGAGCCTGGTGGCACTGAGAGAATGTATTAGGGGTTGGGAGGGAAGCAAAAATAAATGTCTCTTTATGATAATTTCCCTTTCAGAGAGGATGCCTTGATACTGGTGAAGGATAATTGCTCCAAGTAATTAGAGTTTCCTCTCATTCCCCCAAGTGACTTTTTTTTAGCATGCAGGCTGTCTCCCACTGAGACAGGGTGACCCAAGAAAGAAACACCTACCCTGCCTTCCCTCCACTACAGATTTATACACCCTCCAGTTCATCCTGTTTTGCTCCACCCTCTCTAAATGACCAGACCACCTCAACAACACCTCAGCCCTCTGAATAATACTATAATAATATAATAATCTTTATTTACTGCAAGTACATGTGCATGGTATACAGGCCTAGCTGACATCAGTGACATACAGTGGACCCCCGAGTTTTGTCGGCATCGACTTTCGTGAAATCCAACTTTCGGCAAGTTTTTTCGGCAAAATTTAGCCTCGTGGTTCGTGATTGGAATTGTGATTCAGCGACCGTCCAGTCCGCGTCGCCGTCACCGGGCACACAAAGCCAGTCTTTCGCACCATTCACACTCAGTGTGCCATTGTTTACCAGCACATGACCATCACCCTGCGGGTTCATACAATACATTTCATAATAATCCATTGTTTTTTGTGCTTGCAACTGCTAAATAAGTCACCATGGGCCCAAGGAAAGCTAGTGCAAGCCCTTTGGTAAAGAAAGCGAGGAACACGATTGAATTCAAGAAGGAAATCATTGAAAAATATGAGAGCGGAGTGCGTGTTACAGAACTTGCCAGGATGTATGGCAAGCCCCATTCAACCATCACTTCGATCGTTGCAAAGGGAAAGGAAATAAAGTGTGCTGTTGTTGTAAAAGGGGTAGATATGCTGACAATAAAGAGATTGCAAATCCTCAAAGAAGTGGAAAGGTTATTGTTGGTGTGGATTACCCAAAAGCAGTTAGCAGGATAGAGTATTATGCAGTCGATAATATGTGAAAAGGCAAGGCATGACGATCTCGTAAAGAAAATGCTTGCAACTAGTGGTGATGCTTGTGATTTTAAGGCCAGCAAAGGTTGGTTTGAGAGATTTAAGAAGCGTAGTGGCATTCACAGTGTGATAAGGCATGGTGAGGCTGCCAGTTCTGACAAAAAAGCAGCTGAGAAGTTTGTACAGGAGTTTAATTATGATTGGGAAAAGATTCTCTATCTATCTTTTCATAGGAAAAATTTTTTTTTTTTTTTTTGAAAATTTGTCGACTCTGAGAACAAGTCTGGGAGAGGGCTTGTCGACCCTTAACCCGTAAACAGTCCAAACGTATATGTACGTTTTTTCAACATTTGAAAGTATGTAAAAAAAGTAGATCTTTTTGTTTTTTTTACATTTGAAAATGTGTAAAAAAACTTTGATCTACTTTTTTTTTTTGTTATATTTGAAAATATGTAAAAATACGTAGATCTACTTTTGTAGCACTACACATGTGAACGTAGATCTGCTTGGACCGTTTATGGGTTAAAGGGCTAAAAGAAGAAGGGAAGTAACCCCAGAAAAGGACTTGCTACCTAAAGTCCTAATGGAAGGAGATTCTCCTTCCAAACAGTAGTGTATACCTTCCTCCTATCCCCTCCTCCCGTCTTCCATCCACCCAGAAGTCTTCAGTAATGTTATTATTATTTTATATATGTATGTACTTGATTTCTCATTGTTCTCAGTATGTAAATCTTTATTTAGTTTGAAAAAAACAAATTTTATTTTAATATTTTTGGGTATTTGGAATGGATTAATTTTATTTCCATTATTTCTTATGGGGAAAATGGTTTCGCCATTCGGAAGACTCTCTGGAATGGATTAATCACGAAACTCATGGATCCACTTTACTACTATATAAAAAGCCCCCTTGATATGCAGAGCATTTTGGGCAAATTAGGTCAGTGTCTCAGGATGTGACCCACACCAGTCGAGTAACTCCTAGGTACCTATTTTACTGATGGGTGAACATAGACAACCGGTGTAAAGAAACACACCCAATGTTTCTACCCGTGCCGGGAATCGAACGCAGACCCTCGCCGTGTGAAGCGAGAGCTTTAGCGATCAGGCCATGGGGCACCTCCTAATTTCCAAACTACAAATTCTTTATTTATTTTTTTATTGGACATGATACATAGCTGTTCAAGGAAATATAGTGGTTGGGTGTACATGCCAAAAGCCCCTTGTATGCAGAGCATTATGGGCAGGCTTAAAATTAACTAAGCAATGATATATTCAGTGGTAAAAATTAAAGTAAACAAATTACAACATGAGGTACAAATGAGTATTTCAAATAAGAAGCTTTATAGTTGTACAAATTTGTAGCATAACAATGTATAATATAACAAAATGATCAATATACTATATGAAGTCATACAATTTATTAATCCGATCAAATCGAATAAAATCAATGATTTGTGGTGCAGAAACAAGTCATATGGTCATTAGATGAGTTACTGTGCATTCAAGAGAATGGAGTATTCTATTAGGTAATGTTATTAAAAAAACAGTTTGGTAGGGTCACAGGTTATACATTTATGAGATACAGTTATTCAGTATTTATTTAGTTGTGGGTGAGTAAGTGGTTTTTAAGAAGAGTCTTGAATTGATAAACAGACAGCGTTTCTTTTATATTCACAGGTAATGAATTCTAGATTTTTGGGCCTTTTATGTACATTGAATTTTTACATAGTGTGAGATGGACATGGGGAACATCAAAGTGATCTGTGCCTTGTGTTATGGTCATGTGTTCTGTATCATCAGCAAAAAGTAACTGTGTCAATTCCCATTTTGAATTTGATTCCCCAAGATTTAATCCCACCCCTCTCCCGAACACCCTAGCATTTACTTCCTTTACAACCCCATCTATAAATATATTAAACAACCATGGTGACATTACACATCCCTGTCTAAGACCCACCTTTACCGGGAAGTAGTCTCCCTCTCTTCTACACACCCTAACCTGAGCCTCACTATCCTCATAAAAACTCTTTATAGCATTTAATAACTTACCACCTATTCCATATACTTGCAACATCTGCCACATTGCTCCTCTATCCACTCTATCATATGCCTTTTCTAAATCCATAAATGCAATAAAAACTTCCCTACCTTTATCTAAATACTGTTCACATATATGCTTCAATGTAAACACTTGATCTACACATCCTCTACCCACTCTGAAACCTCATTGCTCATCTGCAATCCTACATTCTGTCTTACCTCTAATTCTTTCAATTATAACCCTACCGTACACTTTTCCTGGTATACTCAGTAAACTTATTCCTCTATAATTTTTACAGTCTCTTTTGTCCCCTTTCCCTTATATAAAGGGACTATACATGCTCTCTGCCAGTCCCTAGGTACCTTCCCCTCTTTCATACATTTATTAAACAAAAGTACCAACCACTCCAACACTATATCCCCCCTGCTTTTAACATTTCTGTCATGATCCCATCAGTTCCAGCTGCTTTACCCCCTTTCATTCTACGTAATGCCTCACGTACCTCCCCCTTACACTTAACACTGACAAAACCTACTATATTATGTTTGGTAGCAGAGCAGGTGCTGCGTAACTAAACATTAAGATCGACAGCACTCTAATTGACATTCATAATGAGGGCAAATTCCTAGGCCAATACCTCGACAACAACCTGAATTTCAGCACCCATGTCCAACACATATCAAAAAAAGTATCCAAAACAGTTGGGATCCTCTCCAAGATACGATACTACGTGCCACAAAATGCCCTTCTCACACTGTACCATTCACTCATTTATCCATACCTCACCTATGCTATTTGTGCTTGGGAATCAACTGCAGCAATACACCTAAAGCCAATAATAACTCAACAAAAAGCTGCAGTAAGAATAATCACTAAATCCCATCCTTGGAAACACCCCCCCCCCCCCACTCTTCATAGATCTAAACTTACTCCCTGTTCAGAGCATCCACACTTACTACTGTGCAATCTACATATACAGGACCTTAAAATCCAATATTAACTTTGACTTGAATGCTAAAGTAGGAGAAACATTTAGAGAGGGTGTGGTAGGTAAGTTTGGGGTGCCAGGTGTAAATGATAGTGGGAGCCCTTTGATTGAACTTTGTATAGAAAGGGGTTTAGTTATAGGTAATACATATTTTAAGAAAAAGAGGATAAATAAGTATACACGATATGATGTAGGGCGAAATGACAGTAGTTTGTTGGATTATGTATTGGTAGATAAAAGACTGTTGAGTAGACTTCAGGATGTACATGTTTATAGAGGGGCCACAGATATATCAGATCACTTTCTAGTTGTAGCTACACTGAGAGTAAAAGGTAGATGGGATACAAGGAGAATAGAAGCATCAGGGAAGAGAGAGGTGAAGGTTTATAAACTAAAAGAGGAGCAGTTAGGGTAAGATATAAACAGCTATTGGAGGATAGATGGGCTAATGAGAGCATAGGCAATGGGGTCGAAGAGGTATGGGGTAGGTTTAAAAATGTAGTGTTAGAGTGTTCAGCAGAAGTTTGTGGTTACAGGAAAGTGGGTGCAGGAGGGAAGAGGAGCGATTGGTGGAATGATGATGTAAAGAGAGTAGTAAGGGAGAAAAGTTAGCATATGAGAAGTTTTTACAAAGTAGAAGTGATGCAAGGAGGGAAGAGTATATGGAGAAAAAGAGAGAAGTTAAGAGAGTGGTGAAGCAATGTAAAAAAGAGAGCAAATGAGAGAGTGGGTGAGATGTTATCAACAAATTTTGTTGAAAATAAGAAAAAGTTTTGGAGTGAGATTAACAAGTTAAGAAAGCCTAGAGAACAAATGGATTTGTCAGTTAAAAATAGGAGAGGAGAGTTATTAAATGGAGAGTAGAGGTATTGGGAAGATGGAAGGAATATTTTGAGGAATTGTTAAATGTTGATGAAGATAGGGAAGCTGTGATTTCGTGTATAGGCAAGGAGGAATAACATCTTGTAGGAGTGAGGAAGAGCCAGTTGTGAGTGTGGGGGAAGTTCGTGAGGCAGTAGGTAAAATGAAAGGGGTAAGGCAGCCGGGATTGATGGGATAAAGATAGAAATGTTAAAAGCAGGTGGGGATATATTTTGGAGTGGGTTGGTGCAATTATTTAATAAATGTATGGAAGAGGGTAAGGTACCTAGGGATTGGCAGAGAGCATGCATAGTTCCTTTGTATAAAGGCAAAGGGGATAAAAGAGAGTGCAAAAATTATAGGGGGATAAGTCTGTTGAGTGTACCTGGTAAAGTGTATGGTAGAGTTATAATTGAAAGAATTAGAAGTAAGACGGAGAATAGGATAGCAGATGAACAAGGAGGGCTTTAGGAAAGGTAGGGGTGTGTGGACCAGGTGTTTACAGTGAAACATATAAGTGAACAGTATTTAGATAAGGCTAAAGAGGTCTTTGTGGCATTTATGGATTTGGAAAAGGCGTATGACAGGGTGGATAGGGGGGCAATGTGGCAGATGTTGCAAGTGTATGGTGTAGGAGGTAGGTTACTGAAAGCAGTGAAGAGTTTTTACGAGGATAGTGAGGCTCAAGTTTAGAGTATGTAGGAAAGAGGGAAATTTTTTCCCAGTAAAAGTAGGCCTTAGACAAGGATGTGTGATGTCACCGTGGTTGTTTAATATATTTATAGATGGGGTTGTAAGAGAAGTAAATGCGAGGGTCTTGGCAAGAGGCGTGGAGTTAAAAGATAAAGAATCACACACAAGTGGGAGTTGTCACAGCTGCTCTTTGCTGATGACACTGTGCTCTTGGGAGATTCTGAAGAGAAGTTGCAGAGATTGGTGGATGAATTTGGTAGGGTGTGCAAAAGAAGAAAATTAAAGGTGAATACAGGAAAGAGTAAGGTTATGAGGATAACAAAAAGATTAGGTGATGAAAGATTGAATATCAGATTGGAGGGAGAGAGTATGGAGGAGGTGAACGTATTCAGATATTTGGGAGTGGACGTGTCAGCGGATGGGTCTATGAAAGATGAGGTGAATCATAGAATTGATGAGGGAAAAAGAGTGAGTGGTGCACTTAGGAGTCTGTGGAGACAAAGAACTTTGTCCTTGGAGGCAAAGAGGGAATGTATGAGAGTATAGTTTTACCAACGCTCTTATATGGGTGTGAAGCGTGGGTGATTGAATGTTGCAGCGAGGAGAAGGCTGGAGGCAGTGGAGATGTCATGTCTGAGGGCAATGTGTGGTGTGAATATAATGCAGAGAATTCGTAGTTTGGAAGTTAGGAGGAGGTGCGGGATTACCAAAACTGTTGTCCAGAGGGCTGAGGAAGGGTTGTTGAGGTGGTTCGGACATGTAGAGAGAATGGAGCGAAATAGAATGACTTCAAGAGTGTATCAGTCTGTAGTGGAAGGAAGGCGGGGTAGGGGTCGGCCTAGAAGGGTTGGAGGGAGGGGGTAAAGGAGGTTTTGTGTGCGAGGGGCTTGGACTTCCAGCAGGCATGCGTGAGCGTGTTTGATAGGAGTGAATGGAGACAAATGGTTTTTAATACTTGACGTGCTGTTGGAGTGTGAGCAAAGTAACATTTATGAAGGGATTCAGGGAAACCGGCAGGCCGGACTTGAGTCCTGGAGATGGGAAGTACAGTGCCTGCACTCTGAAGGAGGGGTGTTAATGTTGCAGTTTAAAAACTGTAGTGTAAAGCACCCTTCTGGCAAGACAGTGATGGAGTGAATGATGGTGAAAGTTTTTCTTTTTCGGGCCACCCTGCCTTGGTGGGAATCGGCCGGTGTGATAATAAAAAAAAATAAATTAACTTTGACCTAAAATGCTTTCTTGATAGTTGTGATAGGACCCACAAGCATAACACCAGACACAAACATCTCTACGACATTCCCCGTGTCCGACTAAACCTGTACAAAAATTCAATGTATGTCAAAAGCCCTAAAATCTGGAACACCCTACCTGAAAACTCTAGAACTGCAGACACATACATCACCTTCAAAACTACCGTTAGAAAATATCTTATCTCCCTGATACACCCCGTCAACTAACTACATAAAAACCACCTGGTGGTTCACACTTACACTCACTCACTCGCCCATTTGACTATAAGCACAGAAATACATATCTTAATCTTAAAATAATGATTCCCAACTAGTCACACGTTTGCCTGTGATACTCCAATATAGAAACTATGTATTGTACCAAAACAAAAGCATTCACATTGCTAAACTCACAAACTAGTATTTAGTCACTTAGTATTTAGTCAACTTACTCCACAATTTTGTAATAATTTAGGGTTAAGAATTAATCTAAGTTTGCCCGAAAGGCCTAGCCATGCTAGGTGTTCTAGTGGCCCCCTCTGTAATTAGTATTTCATTACATGTAAACCACACAATAACCAAAATCTGTAAACCCTGCACTGTAATTCTTATAGAGAATAAACTTTGATTTGACTATGAATTCTCTACATAATATTTACACCACACATTGCCCTAGACATGACATCTCCACTGCCTCCAGCCTCCTCCTCACTGCTTAATATTAATGTACAATATATCCCATATGCATTTAGTGCTTCAATGTGGGGTATAATAATTATGATTATGTCATAAAAAATTATATCAACAGATATATTGGGACAGGAATTGAGGGATTGTACTGTGATTAAACATGTCTAATTGCAGTTATTTCTATATTTTACACTGAAACAATGTCTTATCATACATTTTATAATTTATGCATCATCCTCTAAAAAATTGTCATGTAACCTGAATGAGGAATTTTTTTTGCTCATAATCTCTTATTGGATTTCAGGTGATGCAGAATATTGGCTCTATCTATCAGGAATAATATTTATTCTTGTGATGGTGAACATAATCTTCTTCATTCATGTAGCAGTAACACTTGCAAGGGACTTCAAGCAGAGAAAATCTACATTTGATACCAATACAAGTCACAGCAGCAAATCTACCAAGACTAGAGAGCAGTAAGTTTTCCCAGTTGAGGCATGATTTTTTATTAGTCATCAAATAAGATCCTTGTACCTTTCACCATTAAAGCAGATGTAAATACGTAATAGCAATTACAGCTCTAACCCTTCAATGTACAATTATTTTGACAGTTGTGTGTTGTATTGTTATTAAGCTAATGCTCTGAATGTTATTTTGAGAATTTGTCAAAATAATTTTAGTATTCTAATTAGAAGGTTAGTAGATAGCAACTGCCAGGGAGGTACTACCATTATGCCAAATGAATGTAAAACGGAAGCCTGTATGTACTTGTTTTACGTGATGGTAGAATTGCTGGTGTCTTTTCTCTGTCTTATAAACATGCAAGATTTCAGGTAGATCTTGCTACTTCTACTTACACTTAGGTCACACCACACATACATGTACAAGCATATATATACACACACACTCCTCTGGGTTTTCTTCTATTTTCTTACTAGTTCTTGTTCTTGTTTATTTCCTCTTATCTCCATGGGGAAATGGAACAGAATTCTTGCTCCATAAGCCATGCGTGTTGTAAGAGGCATCTTAAAATGCCGGTAGCAAGGGGCTAGTAACCCCTTCTCCTGAATAAATTACTAAATTTAAAAAGAGAAACTTTCGTTTTTCTTTTTGGGCCACCCTGCCTCGGTGGGATACGGCTGGTTTTTTGAAAGAAGAATTTTAGTATTCTGTGTATTCTAAATAAATCTTCCACAAACAGTGTTTAAAAGTTGAAGTGGTGTTGCCGTTGTTTTAGATCAGAAAATGCCAAATGTCTATAAATTGTTTTAAGCCCTTGTAAGCAATATCGTGTATGCAAAAACAAGGCCTTTTCTTTGTTGCTTTATTTCTGTAACATTCTTAAAGTACATTTTTTACAGAATAATAATCCATAAGAAATATGTTGAACAATTAATCAGTTAACTTTTTTTGTGTAGCTATTACAGAATGACTTCAAGAGTGTATCAGTCTGTAGTGGAAGGAAGGCGGGGTAGGGGTCGGCCTAGGAAAGGTTGGAGGGAGGGGGTAAAGGAGGTTTTGTGTGCGAGGGGCTTGGACTTCCAGCAGCCATGCGTGAGCGTGTTTGATAGGAGTGAATGGAGACAAATGGTTTTTATTACTTGATGTGCTGTTGGAGTGTGAGCAAAGTAACATTTATGAAGGGATTCAGGGAAACCGGCAGGCCGGACTTGAGTCCTGGAGATGGGAAGTACAGTGCCTGCACTCTGAAGGAGGGGTGTTAATGTTGCATTTTAAAAACTGTAGTGTAAAGCGCCCTTCTGGCAAGACAGTGATGGAGTGAATGATGGTGAAAGTTTTTCTTTTTCGGGCCACCCTGCCTTGGTGGGAATCGGCCAGTGTGATAATAAAAAATAATAAAAAAATATTACTGGGTAGCAATGTTTTTCTTGTGACTCATCAAAATCCATGAAGATATTGTGAATTTAGTACTCTTAATGCAGTACAGAATCCTTTATCCAAAATCCAAAAGTTTTTCGAGTGTTAACATGATGCATGACAAATCAATCATTCAGTGCAAGATGTGGTGGAGGATCAACCCTTTGTCTGTTGAGCCAAAATAGACCAGCTTCATATTTTATTAGTGCCAGTTTGTTGTCAGCAGCAATTACTCACTGATTACCATTTTGTGCTCTGTGGTGTGAAGATTTTGTTGAAAATGTCAAAAAGGCTTATGGGTAATGATGAAAAGAAAAAGAGGAAGCATTTATGTTTATCTCTATCACAGAAAGTCATGATGTAGGAAAAACTTGACAGTGATGTAAGTGTGAAGCATATGACTGAGAAGTTTGACGTTGGAACAGCCACTATCTACAACCGAAAGAAACAAAATTACAAATTGATGAAGTTCTATGCTGAAAGTGATGAACAGAAAAACTTTGCAAAGAGGGAAAAATGAAGATCTCAATCATATACAGTGGACCCCCGCATAACGATCACCTCCGAATGCGACCAATTATGTAAGTGTATTTATGTAAGTGCGTTTGTACGTGTATGTTTGGGGGTCTGAAATGGACTAATCTACTTCACAATATTCCTTATGGGAACAAATTTGGTCAGTACTGGCACCTGAACATACTTCTGGAGTGAAAAAATATCGTTAACCGGGGGTCCACTGTACTGACAGAGTGGATTCGTCAGCGTCAGAATGAGTGTATGCTCCTTAACATAATACTGAACATGAAAAGTAAAAACCCATAATGACAAACTGAATATTGAAAGTAACTGAATATTCAGTAGCTGGTTACAGAAATTTAAGAAAAGGCACAGCATTAAATATTTAAAGATTAAAGGTGATAAAGTATCTGCTGATCATAAAGCAGCAGAGAAATTCATTGATGTTTTTGCTAGGATTGTTGCTGATGAAAATTGAACAGCAGAACAAATCTACAGTGTTGATGAGACTTCACTATTCTGGTGTTATTACCCCAGAACAACATTAACTGATGAGAGGGCTCCTACAGGAGTTAAGGATGCCAAGGACAGATTAACTATGCTGGGATGTGCTAATACAGCAGGCACATATGTGTAAAATTGCAGTGGCAGGCAGAAGCTGCACCCTCACTGTTTTAAAAGTATGAATACCTTTCCAGGTCATAATTATGCTAAAAAGAGGTCATGGATCACCAGAGACATCTTTTCCTATTGGTTTCACAAACATTTTGTACTAGTGGCTTGTGCCCAGTGCAGGGAAGCCAGATTGGATGACAAGTGCAAGATTTTGTCATTCCTTGGCAGCTGTTTTGTTCATCCTCCAGCTGAACTTATCATCAGAAATAATGTTTATGATATGTACTTTCCTTCAAATATGACTTCATTAATTCAGTAATGTAACCAAGGCATTCTCAATGAAGGCTAAATATAAAGACAATTTCTTGAACAGCTGCTGGCAGCAGTGAACAAAGGTGTGGGTGTGGACAACTTCAAGAAAAAGTTTACTCTGAAGGATGCCATGTATACAGCTGCTATTGCATGGAATCATGTAACTAAAGACACCCTTGCACATGCCTGGCACAACCTCTGGCCTGTGACTGTTGAGTGACGATGATGGACAAAGTGATGAGTTTGAAGAATTCTGCTTGTCAAGTGAGAGAAAGATGACAGATCTCCTTACATACACAAAAAGTATACCTTCAGAGTTTGTCAGTAACCTGGAGGAAGCGGATATCGAAGTTTTAATATTGATAGTGAAGCTGCAGTTGTTCTTTCAGTGACCAATGGTGAAATAGCTGAACTGGTTCTGAATTGTGGTGATCCTGATGAAAATAGTGATGATGAAGACAACATTGTTAACACAGTGGAAAGGTGCCAATAGTGAAAATATGTGAAAGGTACCTATAGTGAAAATAGGTGAAAATGTGTGATAAACTTATTGACGGACTAAAGCAGCATGCATTCTTATTAGAACAAGAAATCATGTCAGTGTATAAAATCAAAGAGACTACTATGACAAAAAGCAGTTATTGAGACAGATGATACTTGAAGAAACATTCAAAGTGCTTCCTTATCCCTAGAGCTTCTGCTTCCAGGTCCCTCAATTGCTTCTGATGTTCCTTCTCAAAGTGATGTCACTGATGATGTAGCCTCTCCCTCAAGTTTCTCAGACCTGGCATAGTTGTAGTGTCTGGACCTGCTTTAATCTTCTATTTGTATGCAGTGATCATGTTTGTTTTAGTACTGTATTGTATTTAGACTTGAGTCCCATTCCCAAGCTGTCCCATTTTATAGACACAAATAAATACACGTGTATATGTACAAATATTCCAAAATTTGAAATCCAAAACACTTCCGGTTCCAAGCATTTCAGATAAAGAATTCTGTACTGTGCTTCCAAAACAAAAATATTAGTATAGTATATTATTTCCATTGAAGGATTGCATTTTTTCAATCTTTAAAAGAACTTTTACTACCATTTATTTATTTATTTATTTATTTATTTATTTATTAATTTGAACATGATACAGTGAAGTACAAAGGATACAGTTATTACAGTGCAACATGCCAAAGCCCCTTGTATGCAGAGCATTATGGGCAGGCTTAAAATTAACTTAAGATTAACTAAGCAGTGATATATTCAGTGGTAAAAACATTGTAAACAGATAACAATTTAGCACAAATGAGTATTACAAAGACAGGTCATATGGTCATTTACTGTGTTGCTGTGCATTCAGTAGAATGGAGTATTCTGTTAGGTAATGTAATTAAAAAATAAAGTTTGATTGGGTCACATGTTAGACATTTATGAGATACAATAATGAGAAACGTTTATGAGATACAATTTATGAGATACAATTATTCAGTATTTATTTACTTGTGGGTGAGTAAGTGATTTTTGAGAAGAGACTTGAATTTATAAACAGTGTTTCTTTTATATTCACAGGTAATGAATTCCAGATTTTAGGGCCTTTTATGTGCATTGAGTTTTTGCATTGCGTGAGATGGACACAAGGAACATGCCTTGTGTTATGGTCATGTGTTCTGTTGAGGTTGGTAAGGAGACGTTTGAGGGGAGGGTCTATATCAGAGTTAAGTGCTCTATGAATGTAGTAGGTGCAGTAATAAGTATGGATGTTTTGTATGGTGAGTAGGTTTAGAGTTTTGAATATTGGTGGAGTGTGCTGCCTGTAGTGGGAATTTGTTATCATTCTTACTGTAGTGTCTTTGAAGAAAACCAAGACATGTTTTGAGCATTCTTATAATTAATGTATTCTTTCATTTTTAAAACATCAATGAAAAGAAATGCATATTACCTCAGACCTCTTTTGCTATTATTGGGAAATAATTATGATAATTTGATTATTTATGGAGTGATTTATGAGTGAAGCTCAATGAAATTTCATTAATAACATCAACAAACACATATAAAATCATTCCCAAATGCTTCAGACACACTATTCACATGCATTATCATAACGTAGCATTTTCGAGTAGGACAAATGGTGATGTGATATATGTAATTTGTTTCTGAGATAAAAAGTTTGTTTTTCGTTTCAGAGCTTGGCTGTATATTAAGCTCTTTATTGTGATGGGTATTGTGTGGATAGCTGAGGCTATCTCAAGTGTACAACACAGGAATACTTGCACCTTCTGGTATGTTTAAATCATATTTTGTTTTTTACTCTAACTCTCAAATAATTTTTTTTAACACTAGCTGTCTCACTGAAGCAGGGTGACCCAAAAATGAAGCACTTTCACCATCATTCACATTATCACTGTCTTGACAGAGGCACACAGATATAACAGTTTAGAGGTCATTCTAAACAGCAGATATCCCAAACCATAAGTTGGCCTGTGATACTCCAATATTGAAACTATGTATAGTGCCAAAACAAAAGCATTCACATTGCTAAACTCACAAACTAGTATTTAGTCACTTAGCCATAATACCAACTTACCTCATAATTTTGTAATACAGTGGACCCCCGGTTAATGATATTTTTTCATTCCAGAAGTATGTTCAGGTGCCAGTACTGACCGAATTTGTTCCCATAAGGAACATTGTGAAGTAGGTTAGTCCATTTCAGACCCCCAAACATACACGTACAAACGCACTTACATAAATACACTTACATAATTGGTCGCATTGGGAGGTGATCGTTAAGCGGGGGTCCACTGTATTTTAAACTTAAGATTTAATCTAAGTCTGCCCGAAATGCCTAGCCATGCTAGGTGTTCTAGTGGTACACTCTGTAATTATTATTTTACTACATGTAAACCACACAATAACCAAATTCTGTAAACTCAGCATTGTAATCCTTATAGAGAATAAACTTTGAATTTGAATTTAGAGTGCAGGCACTGTACTTCCCACCTCCAGGACTTGAGTCCATCTAACCAGTTTCCTCTAGATCCCTTCAAAGAATGTTACCCTGCTCACACTTCAACAGCTCGTCAAGTCCCAAAAACCATTTGTCTCCACTCCTATCTAACACACATTTGCCTGCTGTATGTCCAAGCTTCTTGCACACAAAATGTTTTATACCCTCTCCCTCTATCCTTTCCTAGGATGATCCCTACCCTGCCTTCTCTACACTATAGATTTATACACCCTCCAATTCATTTTGTTTGGCTCCATCCTCTCTGAATAACCAAACCACCTCAGCAACCCCTCCTCGGCCCTCTGAATAATACTTTTAGTAACTCTGCACCTCCTCCTAATTACCACACTACGAATTCTCTGCTTAATATTTAAACCACACATTGCCATTAGACACGACTTCTCCACTGCAGCATTTATAGCCCATGCTTCACATCCATATAAGAGTGTTGGTACCACTATACTCTCATACATTCCCTCTTTTGCCTCCATGGATAATGTTCTTTATCTCCACAGATACCTCATTACACCACCCACCTTTTTTCCTTCGATAATTCTATGGTTTACCTCATCCTTTGTATACTCATCCACCGACTTGTCCACTCTCAAATATCTAAACACATTCACTTCTTCCACATTCCCTCCCTCCAATATTGTATTCAATTTTTGCTTACCTAACTCATTTGATACCCTCATCATTTCACTCTTGTCTATGTTCACTTTCAACTTCCTTCCTTCACACAACCTCCCAAAGGTCTGTCAACCTTTGCAACTTGTCTTCAGAATCTCCCAAAAGCACAGTATTATCAGCAAAAAGTAACTGTGTCAACTCCCATTTTGTATTTGATTCTTAATTTTTTTTTTACACAGCTGTGTCTGTGCTTGCATGAGTGTTATCACTATATGTCCTCACTTCTTTTATATATACATGTATAGAGGTGCAAGTTTAAAAATTTTCAGCTTTAAATATCAGAAAGCCATTTAATAGTCATCTGATTTCTTTACATTAATCAGTTGTTCTTACTGGATAATATTCATTTTATTAATTTATTAAGTGAGTGTACAATGCAATGGAATTCTACTGTGCCCTGTTAACATTTTTCTTAAATAATGAGATTGATTTTTCCAGGAAGTTATGCCTTTACTTTCTTGTTAGTAACATGGACCTTACAGGAATTCAAAGCTTACTTTTATTAGTGTAGTACCATATATTGTATATGAATTCAAAACAATCTACTTTTAGGATAGTACCATGTACTCTGTTCGGTAAAAGGACACAAGTGCAACTAATGTGACATTTTATTGCGACAACGTTGCTCTTTCCAGGAGCTTTGTCAAGCTGTAATTATTTTTTTTTTATTATCACACTGGCCGATTCCCACCAAGGCAGGGTGGCCCGAAAAAGAAAAACTTTCACCATCATTCACTCCATCACTGTCTTGCCAGAAGGGTGCTTTACACTACAGTTTTTAAACTGCAACATTAACACCCCTCCTTCAGAGTGCAGGCACTGTACTTCCCATCTCCAGGACTCAAGTCCGGCCTGCCAGTTTCCCTGAACCCCTTCATAAATGTTACTTTGCTCACACTCCAACAGCATGTCAAGTATTAAAAACCATTTGTCTCCATTCACTCCTATCAAACACACTCACGCATGCCTGCTGGAAGTCCAAGCCCCTCGCACACAAAACCTCCTTTACCCCCTCCCTCCAACCTTTCCTAGGCCGACCCCTACCCCGCCTTCCTTCCACTTCAGACTGATACACTCTTGAAGTCACTCTGTTTCACTCCATTCTCTCTACATGTCCGACCACCTCAACAACCCTTCCTCAGCCCTCTGGACAACAGTTTTGGTAATCCCACACCTCCTCCTAACTTCCAAACTACGAATTCTCTGCATTATATTCACACCACACATTGCCCTCAGACATGACATCTCCACTGCCTCCAGCCTTCTCCTCGCTGCAACATTCATCACCCATGCTTCACACCCATATAAGAGCGTTGGTAAAACTATACTCTCATACATTCCCCTCTTTGCCTCCAAGGACAAAGTTCTTTGTCTCCACAGACTCCTAAGTGCACCACTCACCCTTTTCCCCTCATCAATTCTATGATTCACCTCATCTTTCATAGACCCATCCGCTGACATGTCCACTCCCAAATATCTGAATACATTCACCTCCTCCATACTCTCTCCCTCCAATCTGATATCCAATCTTTCATCACCTAATCTTTTTGTTATCCTCATAACCTTACTCTTTCCTGTATTCACTTTTAATTTTCTTCTTTTGCACACCCTACCAAATTCATCCACCAATCTCTGCAACTTCTCTTCAGAATCTCCCAAGAGCACAGTGTCATCAACAAAGAGCAACTGTGACAACTCCCACTTTATGTGTGATTCTTTATCTTTTAACTCCACGCCTCTTGCCAAGACCCTCGCATTTACTTTTCTTACAACCCCATCTATAAATATATTAAACAACCACGGTGACATCACACATCCTTGTCTAAGGCCTACTTTTAATGGGAAATAATTTCCCTCTTTCCTACATACTCTAACCCTGTAATGGTTTGATAAAATGTCACATTATTTGCACTTCTGCCCTTTTACCTAACATACTGTTGGTAATTCTACCAACGTCACTATACCATGTACTCTGCCTGAAGTCAAAGCAAGCTCTTGTTAGATTAGTGCCATGTACTTTACAGGAAATTAAAGTAAACTCTTGTTGAGGTACTGCTGTATTATACATGCAGCTGAAGCATTTTTTTTTTTTTTTTTTTTCAACAAGTCGGTCGTCTCCCACCGAGGCAGGGTGACCCAAAAAAAAGAAAGAAAATCCCCAAAAAGAAAATACTTTCATCATCATTCAACACTTTCACCACACACACACATTATCACTGCTTTTGCAGAGGTGCTCAGAATACAACAGTTTAGAAGCATATACGTATAGAGATACACAACATATCCCTCCAAACTGCCAATATCCCAAACCCCTCCTTTAAAGTGCAGGCATTGTACTTCCCATTTCCAGGACTCAAGTCCGACTATATGAAAATAACCGGTTTCCCTGAATCCCTTCACTAAATATTACCCTGCTCACACTCCAACAGATCGTCAGGTCCCAAGTATCATTCGTCTCCATTCACTCCTATCTAACACGCTCATGCACGCTTGCTGGAAGTCCAAGCCCTCACCCACAAAACCTCCTTTACCCCCTCTTTCCAACCCTTTCGAGGACGACCCCTACCCCTCTTTCCTTCCCCTATAGATTTTTATGCTTTCCATGTCATTCTACTTTGATCCATTCTCTCTAAATGACCAAACCACCTCAACAACCCCTCTTCTGCCCTCTGACTAATGCTTTTATTAACTCCACACCTTCTCCTAATTTCCACACTCCGAATTTTCTGCATAATATTTACACCACACATTGCCCTTAGACAGGACATCTCCATATATGCTGAAGCATATAATACTCAATTTGGAGCATAAGTATCTTCCTTGCTTACTTCCCTCTCTTCTAATTGTTTTCTATGACTCACAGTCAGAATAGTCCACTTATTTTGTGTCTGCTTATTGGTTAAAATATTTCATCTACAATATTATTTTATGTTTTATAGGTGACATAGTGTATACATAAACTAATGCTATGTATATTATAAGAAAACATGTTTTATAATTCATCAGTGTCCTGTACTGTATGCACAAAATGATATGATCCTACATATATAGTGACATATTAACATAAGGGAAAAAGGGACAGTTGCCTCAGAGGGCCCCAAGTGGTAAGGGTCCCAGTGCTTCATTTTATCTGGAAACAAAGTGTTATTCTTAATTTCAAATTGATTTATTATACATGTTTTGAGTGATTAATTATAAGCATGAACAGACTTTAGAGTATAAATATACTGCATATACAGTGTATGTGTTGTTCCAGGGCCCCAATGCTCTTCATCGGCCATTGATATTATAGTGGAGATTACTGTACTATACACTACTTTCTGGCAAATAAACTACAAAAATTTTTGAATTTTAATTGTAGTATGAATATAAGACAATAATAATGGTATAAGAAAAGAGTGTTAGTTAGTTAGCATTTATACTATGTGAAATACCTAAACCAAAATTTTTAGCTTTTGTTTTCTATGTACATATAGTTATGTGTGATTTCCAGAGATGTTGAAACTAATGTGCTAATTTTAATCATGAGCTTGAATTTTTTGTTTTACAGTTTTATTAAAGAAATTTAAAACCACTTGAAGGTAATGTACTATTATTTGTTGTTTTTTAATTCACTCAGAATTTATTTGATATATAAGTTTGTACAGGTACTCAGTACGTGAATTTAATTTTGCAGGGTTTTAGCTGATATAATCAATGGGCTTCAGGGAGTCTTCATCTTTATTGTGACTGTTTGCAGCAAGGACAACATAAAGAAGGTGAGCAAATAAGATACACTATTTATACATTATTTTAATTCATTAATGTTTGATGCAAAACATATAGTATACTACTATGGAAGACATGAAGCTCATTGCTTATCAGGCTGTGTCTGCCTGGTAAGTCTCAAAGGTGCTTAGATAATTGAGTGAGCACATGTAGGTACCAGTTGCCATTTGCTGATGACACTGCTTATGGGAGATTCAGGAGAACAGTTGCAAAGGTTGATGGATGAATTTGAGAGAGCATATAAAGGAAGGAAATTAAAAGGGAATATAGGAAAGAGCTAGATGATGAGGGCAGCAAATGAGTTGGCAGTGAAAGAATGAATAACAGATTGGAAAGAGGGAGTATGATAGAGGTGAATGTGTTCTGATATTTGGGAGTGGATTTGTCAGTGGATGGGTATATGAAAGACTAGGTAAAAAATAGAATTGATGAAGGTAAAAAGGTTGATGATGCATTGTGACATCTGTGGAAACAAAACATTATGCATGGAAGGCAGAGGAATATATGAGAGTATAGTGGTACCAACACTCTTATACAGGTGTGAAGCATGGGCTGTAAATGTTGCAGTGAGGAGGCTGGAGGTAGTGGAGATGTTGTGTCTGACACCAGTGTGTGAAGTAAATATTATGCAGAGAATTTGTAGCTTAGAGATTAGGAGGAGATATGGTGTTGCTAAAGGTATTATTCAAAGGACTGTGAAGGGTTTGTTGAGGTGGTTTGGAAATTTAAAGAGGATGAAACACAATAGAATGACTTGGATGGTGTATAAATCTGTAGTGGAGGGAAGGTGGAGGAAGAGTTGTCCTAAGAAAAGTGGGAGGGAGAGGGTCAAGGAGGCTTTGTGTGCAAGGGGCTTGGAAATCCAGGAGACGCATGTGAATATGTTAGATAGGAGTGAGTGGAATCAAATAGTTTTTGGGACTTGATGAGCTGTTGGAGTGTGAACAAGGTAACATTTTGTGAAGGATTCAGGGAAACCAGGTAGCCAGACTTGGGTCCTGGAGGTGAGAAGTGTCTGTATTCTGAAGGAGAGGTGGGGATATTTTGCATTTTGAAGGGGCATTTGAACTGTGGTATTAGCGTGCCTCTGGCAAAGCAAGTGAATGATGGTGAAAAGTGTTAGTTTTTCAGGTCACCCTACCTTGGTGGGAGATAGCCAGTGTGTTAAAAAAAATAATAGAGAAGAGTGAGTATATACTGTATCAGACAAGAGTTCACACTGATAGACTATTATCCTACAATTATCTTTTGTGACTCAAAATTTATTAATGAGTATCCTGGCCCAAATGTTTTTTCATTATACAGTGGAACCTCAAAAATCGAACTGCTCCCAACACGACCAATTATGTATTATGTAAATGTATTTTTGTAAGTGCTTTTATAAGTGTATTTTTGAGGGTCTGAAATGGGCTAATCTAATTTACATTATTCCTGATGGGAATAAATTAATTCGGTAAAGGCACTCGAACAGCCTTCTGGACCGAAGAAAGTTTGATATTTGAGGTTCCATTGTATCTTAGTCTGTATACACTTCTTGTATTATATTGTACCTTTCTCCACTGTGTAGCTTATTGTGTGCAATTTCCAGTGACTCATTGAGAATGTTCATTAATGTATCAGACAAATAGTAGAAATGCAACATTTATTTATAACTACTACACTGGAACAGGTATAAAAAAAGCTAGTAACACATTTAAGGTTAGACGTTATACAGCAGGTTAAGTTCCATGCTCCTACTGTAAAGCAAAAATTGCTGTAAAGTGAATCATAGCCTTTTTTTTCACTTTCAAATACATATAAAAACCTGATAACGTGTTTACACTATCATATATTAAGTGAACAATATAGCTAGGGCTAAAGAATGCATATACAGTACCCACATTACTTACATTAAAATATTTTCATCCTTAGCTTATAGAGAGTGGTGAATATATTTACTGTAAAAGGTCTGAATAAATGAAGAATGAGAATAAAAGAAAACTGCTGTATTAATGAAATACAGTGGACCCCCGGCTTACAAACAGCTTCCAACTCGAACAATTATGTAAGTGCTTCTGTAAGTGTATTTTTAGAGGTCTGAAACAGACTAATCTAATTTACAATAGTCCTTATGGGAGCAAATTTGTTCGGTAACAGCACCCGAACAGCCTTCTGGAATGAATTAATATCGTAAGTCGGGGGTCCACTGTACTACTGTAAAACGAAGTGCTGTAAAGCAGGGCTCTCCTGTATGTCATATTAAACATAGACAAACCATATTTGACACTCTGTATCTCTAGGTAACCAGATTTTGATCTATTAAATCAAGGGTTTGCTGTTAAAATATAAGTTATTCAAAACTCATTCTGTACGTGTGTGGTGTAATTTCTGTCTTTACAGATACGAGATGCCTGGCGTCCTAGACTGCAGACTGTTCGGAAAACCGCTGTCTCTTTTAAAGGACGAACCTCCACAGGAAATGCAAATAGGCGAGGAACTGACCTCAGTCTAGCAGCATCAGAAAGTTCTAGAAAAACTTCTCTGACATCTCTTCCAAGAAAATTCTCTGTTGCATCTAGTGTCTTTCATCCTGCCTGCAGCAAGGCCAAACGGGCCACGACACTCAGTGATACATCTGAAACCTCCAGAAAATCTCCTAATCTCAGAAAGATCTCCATAGACTCTAATCCTGAAGTTATTCCAATGACAAACATTATGGAAATCTAATATTATATGGGCCTTGAGCTGTGATTTTAATGGATGAATATATGACTAGTTGAGCATTGTACACCCACCACTGCCATATGCCACTACTATGATAAGTATAGTTGGTACAACATTGTTATATGACTAGGAAGTTTCCCACTTTTGCTTTCTCCTTGAAGGAATTCATCATTTCAGTGGATATTCTTTTACGGTATGTAGTATCTAGGTTATATTAAGTATGTCTTCTAGGATTTTTTAAATGTCATGTCATGTTATCTGGATTTAAAGTTTATTACCTTCATGTAGAAAAAATTATAATGCCTGATAATGTTGGTAATGAAACCATGCTGAATATGGATACTGGAATTTTTCAGAAGATCCTAGATACTAGTTAATATGCAGGTACTGTATAGTTAATTAAGCAGACATGATGTCGCCCTTGTTTCTCAAAATCTGGGATGATTTGATGAAATTATATGACGGTGATATTGACTCTTATGTGCCATGGGTACTAAAGGTGTTAAATGAGTTAAATGTTTTTTAGTATTCTTTAAAATAGTGCAATAAACCAAATGGTGTGATATTTGAATTGGCACCATCCCAAAGAGTAGTTCAAATCCCAACACAGGTGTTTGGGATATTGAGATATTTGTTGTGACTTGGATATATGTTGATCCTGGAATTTGATGAAATAATCAAGACATTGGACTGTAAGCTCTTTGGAAAGTGAATATGGTTACACTGATGATGTGTATCTAGCAAACTAATGAGGAAGATTCTCCTGAAATACTTGGAGAGTTTTGGAATTCAAAATTTATTGCTGGAGAAATTCAGCAGGATGCCCATGCAACTTCTCCATTACATACCAATTTTTGTACCTTGGTGTAACATAGAATTGTAGTGGATAATATCTCTTATAATGCTTGAGAGTGTCTCCAGGAAAGGGAGTGCCATTGCTGGTGACAGAAACTAAACTCAGTGAATGGACAGCAGGTGTTAGGAGACTTGCCCATATGTTTGGCTTGTACATTATGCAATCTGGGTCCGTTTATTTATAAGCAGAATGCTTTACCATTTGAGTTCTTATATACAACACCACCATTTTATGATAGTACACCAGACGGAAAGTGGAAAGGGGGGGAATTTACCCTACTACCTTGAATCATTAATATGAGCTAAATAGTGTTGAAGAAACTAACAGTTACCAAAAGACAGACTAATTTATTTTATAAGTTCAGTGATGAGAGCACAGTACTAAGAATGATTCTGCAAAATAGCAAATAAAACTGTGCTTTTATTTCAAGGATAAACAGACAACATATTAGGTAGTAGGTTCTTAGACAGCAGTCAACCAGGGAGGTACTACCATCCTGCTAAGTGAGTGTAAAGTGAAAGCCTGTAATTGTTTTACATGATGGTAGGATTGCTAGTGTCTTATTTTTTGTCTCATAATCATGCAAGATTTCAGGTATGTCTTGCTACTTCTACTTACACTTAGGTCATACTACACATGCATGTACAAGCATAATATATATATATATTATACAAGCATATCTATGGAGGCAAAGAAGGGAATGTATGAAATTACAGTGGTGCCAACACTCTTATATGGGTGTGAAGCTTAGGTTGTAAATGCTGTAGCAAGGAGACGGTTGGATTCAGTGGAGATGTCCTGTCTAAGGGCAATGTGTGGTGTAAATATTATGCAGAAAATTTGGAGTGTGGAAATTAGGAGAAGGTGTAGAGTTAATAAAAGTATTAGTCAGAGGGCTGTAGAGGGGTTGTTGAGATGGTTTGGTCATTTAGAGAGAATGGATCAAAGTAGAATGACATGGAGAGCATATAAATCTGTAGGGGAAGGCAGGCGGGGTAGGGGTCGCCCTTGAAAAGGTTGGAGGGAGGGGGTAAAGGAGGTTTTGTGAGCGAGAGGCTTGGACTTCCAGCAAGCGTGTTTGATAGGAGTGAATGGAGAGGAATGGTATTTGGGACCTGACGAGCTGTTGGAGTGTGAGCAGGGTAATATTTAGTGAAGGGATTCAGGGAAACCGGTTACTTTTATATAGCTGGACTTGAGTCCTGGAAATGGGAAGTACAATGCCTGCACTTCAAAGGAGGGGTTTGGGATGTTGGCAGTTTGGAGGGATATGTTGTGTATCTTTATATGTATATGCTTCTAAACTGTTGTGTTCTGAGCACCTCTGCAAAAACAGTGATTATGTGTGAGTGAGGTGAAAGTGTTGAATGATGATGAAAGTATTTTTTTTCTGGGGATTTTCTTTCTTTTTGGGTCATCCTGCTTTGGTGGGAGACGGCTGACTTGTTAAAAAAAAAAAATATGTATATATACACAGCACTGTCCTGGAGGACAGTGCTAGTGTAGTCCTGGAGGACAGTGCTGAGGGTGCTAGTGTAGTCCTGGAGGACAGTGCTCCTGAGGGTGCTAGTGCTGTCCTGGAGGAAAGTGTCCCAGAGGGTTCTGGTGATGTCCTGGAAGACAGTGCTCGTGAGGTTACTAGTGTTGTCCTGGAGGGCAGTTAAGACAATGCTACTCAGACCACAGAGGTTCAAAATAGAGATACAGCTGGAGATGGACCAAAAAGGGGATGATGCCTCAGGGAACAGGTCGACACACTACCAGCAAAACCTGGTGGAAGCACTGATGTCCGTACAGGGGTGAAAGATAGGGAGGAAACAGGAAAAATAAATGCACCACCAGCAAATGCAGCTAAAATAAATCCTAGGAAACAGAATTACAATCTATGTAAATACTATGCCTTGGGTATCTGCAGGCATGGTATATATGGTAAAACAGGTGGGACATGCACCTTTGACCATCCCAAAAAATGCTGCACCCACATGACAACAGGAAAGTGCAGCTTCCCCTCCTGTAACGTATTCCACCCAGAAATGTGTCACTCATCAATCCATGAAAGAAAATGCTACAACGCATACTGCCAGGCACATCACATAAAGGGGGCTAGAAGACACAGAGGACCCAGACTATGGGAAACAAAAGAGGGGATCTATAACCTCTCCAGGGACAGAGTTTTTTTAGGGCTACAAAGGAAAAAAGACAAGAAATTGCAATAATCCTATACCAACTGAAAACACTTCTGGAGCAGAGACACGGACATTGGCCTCTACTCCAGAACAATAGATATTAGAGCCAGCGAATAAAACCTCCCCTAAATTCCACCAATATAATGACATTTGCCTTTGCAAACATACAGGGTCTAAAGCCATCAAAAAACAACAAAATTCCTTACATCAAGGGACTGCTCACGGAGTCAAATACGATGTTTGCAGCTTTCACAGAGACCCACATAAAGGATCATTATGACAACGAAATACGGATACGTGGTTATAACCTATTCCGATGCGACAGACTAAACAGGCAACAAGAGGGGGGTTGGTCTGTACATCACAGAATCGCTCATTTGCACAGAACTACTGAACACCTCAAATGATGTGGTTGAAGTTTTGGCAGTAAAGATTGATAACCAAAACCTTGTCATTGTGTGGTATACAAGCCTCCAGATGCAACTTCCCAGAATTCCAGGAGCAGCTTGTGAAAATTGACTACTATCTAGAAACATTCCCAACTCCTGCCCCAAATATCATACTACTAGGAGATTTCAACTTGAGACACCTAAAATGGAGGAGTATAGCAAACAATGTTTTAGCAGAGATCACCCCAGGAGGCAGCTCAGATGAAAATTCACCACACACACAAACTCTTAAATCTCTGCAATAAATTCACCTTAAACCTGCAAATACAGTACTAGAGTCTACAAGACTAGAAAATGCGCTGGACCTCATCTTCACTTACAATGATGATCTGATACGTAATATAACTCTATCAAAGACAGTGCACTCAGATCGCAACATAATAGAGGTACAGACATGTATGCACAGGGCATCTGACCAGCAAAATGTGAGCAGTCATGAAGGTCTCTTCACGAAATTCAGTTTCAATAACAAAAACATACAATGGGATCAAGTAAACCATGTCCTAAATGAAACAAGCTGGGAAGATATCCTAAACAACATGGATCCAAACATTTGCATTGAAAAAATGAATTCTGTGGTTCTTGAGATCTGCTCAAGACACATTCCATTAAGAAAAAGAAAGAAAAGATGTAAACTAGAAAGAGAGAGATGCTTCCTAAACAGATGAAGGCAAAGAGTCACAGAGCTGCTGAGTGGGACCAATATATCGGAAATGCGAAGGGAGGCACTAGCCAATGAAGTTGCAAATATTGAACTTAGGCTGAAGGAATCTTACAGGAGACAAGACTCACAGGAAGAATTAAAAGCCATAAAGGAAATTGAAAAAAAAAACAAAATACTTCTTCTCTTATGTGAAATCTAAGGAAAAAACAACATCCAGTATTGGGTCCCTGCTTAGCTGGGATGGGACGGGACATACACAGATGACAGCCAAGAAATGAGTGAGATACTAAAGTCCCAATATGACTCAGTGTTCAGCGAGCCACTGCCCAGACTAAGGGTCGACAACGCAAATGAATTCTTTATGAACGAAGCCCAAAATTTAGACATCCCAAAACTAATGACATGCCCATGCACTCTGCCCCAGGCCCAGACTCATGGAACTCTGTGTTCATCAAGAACTGCAAGAAGCCCCTATCGCGTGACTTCAGCATTTTATGGAGAGGGAGCATGGACACAGGGGTCATCCCACACACACTAAAAACAAGAGACATAGCCCCACTCCACAAAGGTGGCAGTAAAACAATTGCAAAGAACTTCAGACCGATAACACTAACATCCCATATCATAAAAATCTTTGAGAGGGTTCTAAGAAGCAAGATCGCCAACCACTTAGATACCCATCAATTACACAACCCAGGGCAACATGAGTTTAGAGCAGGTCGCTCCTGCCTGTCCCAGCTACTGGACTACTATGACAAGGTGCTGGACGCTGTAGAGGATAATCAAAATACAGATGTACATGTAGTACATACAGACTTTGCAAAAGCTTTCGACAAGTGTGACCATGGTGTATTAGCACACAAAATGCATGATAAAGGAATACTGGGAAAAGTTGGTAGATGGATCTACAACTTCCTGACAAATAGAACACAAAGAGCAATAGTAAACAGGTTAAGTCCCAGGCAGCCATGATAAAAAGCTCTGTTCCACAAGGCACAGTACTCGCTCCCATTCTATTCCTCATCCTCATTTCTGACATAGAGATATAAGTCATAGCTCAGTGTCTTCCTTTGCGGACGACGCACGGGTTACCATGGCAGTGACCTCCATCAAAGACACTGAGACCCAAGCGGACATCAACCAAATCTTTGAATGGGCCACTCAGAACAACATGAAGTTCAACGAGGAGAAATTTCAACTACTCATATATGGGAAACTTGAGGAAATTAAAAATGTGTCAGGGTATACGACAAATTCTAACCATACAATGGAGTGGAAAAGTAATGTGAAGGACCTGGGGGTGATAATGTCAGAGGACCTCACTTTCAAAGACCACAACAATGCATCTACCTCATCTGCTAGGAAAATGGTAGGATGGATAATGAGAACCTTCAAAACTAGGGACGCC